GTTCCTTTCTACAGTGTGCGCAATCTTCCCGGCTGTTTTGGTTTTCGGTATCAACTACACCGACCCGGATTGGATGCCACAACCGAAATTCAACTGGCCCTCATGGTCTTACGGATTGGCCATTCTAAGCGGAACCGGTGCTTTGTTCTCCGCGCTCTGCTTCGGTCTGATGGATCGTGAAATGCGACGGGATTTGCAGGACTGGATGCTGGACTTTCCCATGTCTACCAAAGTCAAGCACCGACGTCGTTGGCAAATGCGACGAAAACACTGGTCCGAGGATGCCGACGTTCCACCCGTGGTTAAGCCAACCCCTCTGGAGTCAGTGAGAGTTCCAGAATCGTTGCTGATGAGTGAATTCAGCCAGCTCACACCGAGTAACATTCGTTCGTATACCGAGTCTGAATCTGTCAGCAATTCCCAACTGACTGAAATCGTATGTGGAAGCCGAACTCCAACTACTATTAATGCACTATCTTCACAAGGATCAGAAGTTTAACTATGTTTATACCCTTTATTGTCAGTAAACAATAACGTCAGTTTTATGCTACGCTACTTTTATCGATAATCCGCTTTACACTGATGGTAGAAATTTGAACTAAAAACTGTTTTCAATTATCTGGATGGGCTAGTAGAAGCGTCCGATTAAGGAAAACAACTGCTCAAGTTTAGCGCACTCAAAGAGGAGGAAATTTCGTACTAACGGTTTGTATAAAAAGCAAAGCCGAACCAGATTAGAGGAGGATTTGATGCCACTATTTGATGAATTTTGTCGTATCTAGAGCAAAAGAAGCGTGAACTGAAAAGTTAAGAAGCAATGTAAAGATCTTGCGACATGGTTGGTTCTCAATTTGGAATTGAACCCAAGATCTCACAGGTATAATGTAGGCAAACTGTCCACTTAGTCACCGGGCGGTTGATTGAAAAGTTATCCATTTTTATCTAATACATGAAATGGCACTACCGAATTTTTCAACCAAGATACGGCCCAGCCTAATGTTCGCATTTTGCCTTTGAGTTACCTGGTTTGATTTTCAGTTGAGTCAATGGATTTGCACTGCTCTGTACACGACGGGGATCACGATAAAAAGTAAAGTTAGCAGTATATATATATCAGTGGATCTGCAAGTATTAAGAAATTACCGGAATAATCCAATGTATATTGGGTCGTCGAATTCAGTTAGAAGATTACGGTACAACTATTGTGAAAAAATACGTTTTCATACTGTGCACAACTGAATGGGAGAACAATCTCAAAGTGGAATAACCCTTAGACAACAACGAAAATTATTCCAAGATGAAAATTCAAGTTTGTTCTATTTTGAAAAAGCGCTCATCGAGAACCCATTAGGGTGATCTAAGAATTACTTTGTGAGTTAGATGCATCTATAGTATCAACAAACCTTTGCATCGAGACAAACAGTCGATATTTTTATAACAATCAGTATTAAATGAATGAACGAACTATCCTTTAAAGCACGCGGTCATTCCCATAGCCGCTATGCTTTACCAAGTGTGCGTGCTCGGTACTCTTGCGTCAAGTTGTTATTGTGTGTACTCTCATAAGGAGAATTTCTCCACAATTATTATCAGAGAATCCCCTTCACGATTACTCAAATTAGATTATCTGATTGATAGAATCGAGAAGTACGAATGAGCTACTTGTGATAAGAAAAGTATTCTATTTACCGAAAATTCTTCGGCATCAATTTTAGGTGACCTATGTTAATCGTGGAAAAGACGGCAGATATATGACGAAATAACGATCAAAAGCGATCTACACTTGCCTATTTTTCTAATCGATATCAACTGTCCAAACAACCTCGATGAGAGACAAATGAATAAATACAAGTTTCGCGGGCTGCATTTTCTGATCAATTGATACACAAAAAATCTCTAAACTGTTAAAACTCTTACATGTTCCAAAAGAGAAGCCAGTTTGGCAACATTGTACGATCTATGTCCTGGACAGTTTCACTGCATTTCAACTGGTGCCCACTGCAACGAAGTGTATTGTTTATATGGGGTTTGGAAATGGATTTGTAGTAAATGTAGTAATGGTAGTAGTGGTACGCACTTAACACGGAATACGAACCACGCAATACGACCTACGGATTAGCAATTGGGGATGTCACGTATGCACTGAATCACACAGGTACTTGCACGCAATATCCCACGTAACCAAGACGCGATGAAAAGGCCTCAGGAGTGGTACTTAGTTTTGTGTTCGATCTAGACGTATGAATGACACGAGCGACTCTCGCTTATCCCCAACACTAATGCGAAGAGAGGAAACAGCTTGAGACAACAGTCAGGATTTATTCTTCGAACTAGATTTCGATACGCAAA